GGCTGCAGGCCTTCTAAGCCTTCCAGGGAGACCGGTCCGCTGTGCCTTCCCCCCTGGGCACGCCGCCACGAGTAACCTCTGGAACAATGTATACAGTCATCAATACTCGCCAGTCGAAAGAAGAAGGTAGACGCATGAAGTAGGAAGGCGAATGATAAAGTAGATTGGGTTCGGGCCCGCCCAGAATAACGAACAGCAACAAGAACATAGCGGCTCTTGAAGTAGAAATGCGCTTAAAGTAGCTTGGGATCTGGATCTCCAAGAATACATACTTTCAACGACCACGTGTATCGTCAGTGTTGGCGACACTGCCGCAACCCATCGCATTAGCAAACCTCAACGACCAGCGTGTATCGTCTGTGTTCGTGACACTGCCGCAACTCATTGCATTAGCAAGCAGATGTTCCTCCCCGAGTATGCTTGATGCGTGCCTATTTTCACTCTCGCTGTAAATTACCACTGTGTGGACAGTGCCCTCGTGGGCAATCTGCAGACGAACAGACAAGGCAATCAAGGCCGATACGAAATTCAAAAAAAACTATGGGTAATACACTGGGCAACTGGGACTGGGACCCAGATCGGCGAGACCTTACGGGCAACAAAAAAGGAAAACAATCACCTGGTGTACCCGGCGACGGTTCTCCAGCTTGCCGTTTCGCTACACGTAGTGAAACACCCCACTGGTGGGCCCACCCCCCCTCCACCCACCCGCAACGCAGCACAACGCAACATGGCTGCATGTGCCAGTTCGGTTAAACGCGGGGGCCAGGCAGAGGAATCTCTCGATCGAAGACGCATGCGCGCACCAGGAAAGCGAACTCCTGCTCTGAACTAAGAGGAACTCTACTCATAATATGTCCTCGCTAGAGTGATCCTTGTTAAACTGATCCAGACTTAAGAATCCGAACGAAAGAACCCTTACTACAGGAATGCAGATCAAAGCACCCTTCATGGACCAGTACTCGAGACCCCTTCCTTAGGCACCCGTGCACGAGTATCCTTACTGAATAGCCATACCTAGAAATAGTATCACACGGGTCCTAAGTATATGCACCCTGACTACAAAATCACGACTGCATAATGCTTACTCAAAAAACCAAGGCTAACGAAGTGAATACGAACGTAGACCATTGCCTCGAGAACTAATTTCGAAGGAACCATCACTGCAGAATCCTTACTGAGGAACCACTGCTCGAGGACCCCCTTCGGGGCGACCCTGGAGCGGCGGGGGCCTGTGTGGGGCTGTCCTCGGGCATCCTGGGAAGCTTTTGGAAGGCCGTCAGGGGTGATCCCGGGAGCTCACAGGGCGTTCCGGGGATGTGTGAGACGCCGTGCGTCTTGAGGTTATTCTTAGATCGGGCATGTCCCCCTACAGGCGGATTTTGGACGACAACAAAAGAAAACAGCCAGAGAAATACCCCAAGAATGAAGGAACAACAAAAAAAACATCCCCAGGCTTTTCATTGACTAGTTTGGTAGATTCCTCCTGTAGAGGGACAGGCCCGACTTAAGGTTATTCGGGGGGGTATTTTGGCCGCCATTGCGCCTTCTGGGGCTGAATGTGGGCTCTCGTGGGTCTTGGAACGCTCTTGGGTTTTTTTTTGCACCTACTCGGGGACCTTTGGAAGCCTTTGTTGGGACCTTGTCATGCCCTCCGGGGCCACCGAGAAGCCCTCCAAAAGGCGATGCCGAGACGAGGACCCCACTCCAGAGTAAAAGGCTAGGCGGTGTGGGCGGGAGCGTTCGTAATGCTGGGGCAGATGGTTTGCTGCGCCAAGGCGCGAGCGCCACTCCTGAGCAAAAAACAAAAAAACTAAGCGGAAGCTCCCTTCAAACTCAAAAGAGTCTTATGAGAGCCCCTGGACGGCCCCTGGACGGCCCCTGGACAGCCCGCCCCAAGAGAGCTCGAAGGTGGTACAAAAGGGCCTCCAGAGGGACCCAATATAGCTCAAGATGGGCCCCTAAGACGGCGCAATAATGTCGCAAGGCAGCCCTGCGACGACCCCAAGAGACCCCCGCCTCCCGACTGCCAAAAGAGCACGAAGACGGCCAAATGGAGCGCCAAGATGACCCAAAAGGGCCACAAGGGGCCCACAAGACTGCCCTGCAGGAGCCCAACACGGCCCCAAGACGCATGAGAATTCCTGAAGAAGTGGAGACGCGAGGTGTCACATGTGACGGCCTTCTGAGCGGTGCTTGAAAGGCGCGTCGCTGGCACGGTGGCGGATTTGCCGCAAACCACTGAATATCTGCACCGACGTATGAGGCGAGGATTTGGGATGGGAGGGTACCTTCCTTCAGCCCCTTCCCTTTGATCCCTTCCCCGCAGAAGGGGCGGGGGGGCCCGGGGGTTGTCCCGGGGGTGGCCCCGGGTCAGAATACCACCCTCCCTGGGCCCGTGGCCCGCCCTCTCCCTCCCAGTTCCGTCGAGGGCCGAGGCCTCCAGGGTCGGCGGCACCGGCCGTAAGGCCTTAGCAAGATCTGCACCGACATGTGAGGCGAGGATTTGGCATGGGAGGGCACCTTGCTTCATCACTGCTGCGTGGTGGATATGCTCTGGACATCCACCTCCCCCTCGTCCTCCTCCTCCTCCTCCTCCTCCTCCTCCTCCTCCTCCTCCTCCTCTCCTCCTCCTCCTCCTCCTCCTCCTCCTCCTCCTCCTCCTCCTCCTCCTCCTCCTCCTCCTCCTCCTCCTCCTCCCACTGTGTTCATCCTAAGATTCCTCCTTTCCAACCACCCCCCTCCGCCTGAAATTGCGTTCGCCCCCACCGTCGACCCTGCCTCCAAGTCAAAATGGCGAGGAGAGAGGGAGGGAGACTGGCAACTGAAGAGTGCGCCTGCGTCGTTCTGGGGGATGGACTCACGCGGGGCTATAGGCGGTGGCGCCCTTACGCTGACATCAATCGAAAAGTGGAGAGCAGATCCTGGCCAATTCAATCGATACCCCACGGTTGTGTCCCTGCGTGTGGTCTTATGAAGGAGGGGAGGGAGGGAGGGAGAGAGGGAGGAGGGAGGGATGGAGGGAGAGAGAGAGAGGGGAGGACACATCCATGCGATGTCCTGATTTGTTCAATACGGAGTCCCCGGAAGACCCGACCCGTTCCCTGGGGCTCTTTTTCATCCTGGGTCATTTGTTTAACGGCCCCGGGGCCTGGCGAGGGCCTCCAGGGGCCGATCACGGCCAGAAACCTCCCGCCGTGGCTTTTGCCACGACGCGAGCACGTCTGGGGAGGACGAGAGGGGGGGGCAGGGCAGGGCGGGCAGGAGCAGCCGGAAGGCCAGGACGGGCGCGACGGGTGTGCGAAGGCCGGGCGGAGCATCGTTGCACCGATCCCCATCCCCAATGGCATGGCCTGGGCCCCACTGGCCGAGTTGTACCCCCCGTGATGGGGATGTGGGCTGCTCCCTTCGGGCTTCGAGGGGCAAATCCCCGACTGAAGCACTGACATGGCGGGGCTGAGATAGGGGAACGAAGAATGCCATAAGCATAAAAACTCGGAGGTCCGCAAGGTTTTCTCTGATCGGCGCTGGACCCCCATCCCTGGCACGCGGAGCGCGCCAGGGGCGGCGCCGGAGGCGCCGCCAGGGGGCCCCAGCGCCGATCCGAGAAATCCGCGCGGACCTCCGCGTGTTTATGTTTTTGCCATTAATATGTCCCCTACGGTGTAGATGGGCGGGGGCTCTCCTGCCGGTGTCCTCGTCCGCAGACTTCACCGTGCAGCACTCGCGCAACCGGATGGCCTCGGCAGGCGAGGCAGCGCAGCGCCATCTCTGGGCCCGTGCGGACCGCCCCCAACCGTTGGTGGCGGCCACTGCTCGTACTCGTGGCGGGGCGCTGCACGGAGGGCGACGAGGGAGAGCGAGGAGGAGCTGGAGGAGTCGGAGACAGGCACGCCTCATGCAACATTCGATCATACCTCGATAGTGTTGTTTCCTCCTCCTCCTCCTCCTTCTCCTCCTCCTCCTCCTCCTCCTCCTCCTCCTCTCCTCCTCACCACCACCACCACCACCACCACCACCCACCTCCTCCTCCTCCTACTCCTCCTTCTCCTCCTATTGTGCTCCTCCTGGTGATCCTCCTTTCCATCCCACCCACCCTCCTCCTCCCTCCTTCTCCTCCTCCTCCTCCTCCTCCTCCTCCTCCTCCTCCTCCTCCTCCTCCTCCTCCTCCTCCTCTCCTCCTCCTCCTCCTCCTCATCCTCCCACCTACTCCTTCTCCAACTCTTCCTTCTCATCTCATCATCATCATCATCATCATCATCATCAATCATCATCATCATCATCATCATCATCATCATCATCATCATCATCATCACCATCATCATCATCATCATCATCATCATCATCATCATCATAATCATCATCATCATCATCATCATCATCATCATCATCATCATCATCATCATCATCATCATCACCATCATCATCATCATCATCATCATCATCAGCAGCAGCAGCAGCAGCAGCAGAAGATGCATCATCAGCATCATCCTCAACAGCAGCATCATCATCAGCAGCAGCATCAGCATCATAATCACCGTCAGCATCATCATCAGCATCATCATCAGCACCATCATCAGCATCAGCATCAGAATCATCATCATCACATTCCTCATCATCATCCTCATCATCATCCTCATCATCATCAGCAGCAACAGCAGCCTCATCATCATTATCACCATCACCATCGTCATGTTCGTCATCATCATCACCATCATCAACATCATCATCATCATCATCATCAATCAGCATCATCATCATTATCATCATCATCAGAATCATCATCAGCAGCATCACCAGCATCATCAGCATCATCATCATCATTACCATCAGCATCATCATCATCAACATCATCGGCATTATCATCATCATCACCACCACCACCATCATCATCATCATCATCATCAGCATCATCATCATCATCATCGTCGTCAGCATCATCATCAGCAGCATCATCATCAACAACATTATCATCAGCAGCGCATCAGAATCATCACCACAACCACCCCCATCATCAGAATCACGATCATAAGAATGACAATAATAATCATCATCAGCATGATCAGCATCATCATCATCGTCATCATCATCATCATCCTCATCAGCATCAGCATCATCATCATCATCATCGTGACCATCATTATCAGCAGCATCATCATCAGCAGCAGCATCATCATCAGCAGCAGCAGAAGCATCATCATCATCATCATCATCATCATCATCAGCATCACCATCACCGTCATCATCATCATCATCATCATCAGCATCATCATCATCATCAGCATCATCGTCATCAGCATCACCATCATCATCATCAGCATCAGCATCATCATCATCAGCAGCAGCATCATCCTCGTCATCGTCAGCATCCTCATCCTCATCATCAACATCAGCATCCCCACCACCATCATTATCTTCATCACCATAGCCATCATCATCATCGTAATCGCCATTATCGTCGTCAACATCATCATCATCATCATCATCAGCCTCGTGATCATCAGCATCACCATCACCACCAGCACCATCATCTTTCAGCATTTTCATCAGCATCACCACCATCATCGTCATCAGCATCAGTAGCATGTTTATCATCAGCAGGATCATCAGCAACATCATCAGCATCATCATCAAAATCATCATATTGCGTATCTGCAGCATCATCATCAGCATCAGTAACATCATCATGCTCATTATCAGAATCAGCATCGCTATCATCATCATATCAGCAGCATCATCATCATCGGTAGCATTAGCATCATCATCGTTATCATCATCAGCATCAGCAACATTATCATCATCAGCAGCAGCATCATCAGCATCATCAGCAATAGCACTATCATCACCATCATCATCACCATCATCATCACCAGCATCAGCATCAGCATCAGCACCACCACCACCGCAACCACCACCACCACCAGCATCATCATCATTATCATCATCATCATCAGCATCATCAACAGCCACATCATCGTCATTATCATAATCATAATCCTCATCATCATCATCATCATCATCATCATCATCATCACCACAAGCATCACCATCATCATCAGCAGCAGCATCATCACCATCCGCAGCAGCAGCATCAGTATCGGCCGTATCCTCATCATCATCATCATCAGCAGCATCATCATCATCATCATCATCATCATCAGCATCGTCATCATCATCATCAGCATCATCATCATCATCATCATCATCATCATCATCATCATCATCATCATCATCATCATCATCATCATCATCATCATCATCATCATCATCATCATCATCGTGTTCGTTCTCATTCCCATCCTCCTCCTCCTCCTCCTCCTCCTCCTCCTCCTCGTCATCCTCCTCCCTCCCCTCCTCCTCATCCCCCCCCTCCCCCTCCTCCTCTTCCTCCTCTTACTCCTCCTACTCATCCTCATCCTCCTGATCCTCCTCCTCCTCCTCCTCTTTCTCTTCCTCTTCCTCCTCCTCCTCCTCCTCCTCCTCTTCCTCCTGCTCCTCCTCCTCCTCCTACCTCCTCCTCCTCGTCCTCTGCCTCTTCCTCCTTCTCCTCCTCCTCCTCCTCCTCTCCTCCTGCTCCTCCTCATCCCCCTCCCCCCCTCCTCCCCCTCCTCCTCTTCCTCATACTCCTCCTACGCATCCTCCTCATCCTCCTGATCCTCCTCCTCCTCCTCCTCCTTCACCTCCTCCTCCTCCTCCTCCCTCCTCCTCCTCCTCCTCCTCCTCCTCCTCCTCTCTCCTCTTCCTCGTTGTCCTCGTCCTCCTCCTCCTCCTCCTCCTCCATCTCCATCTCCTCCTCCTCCTCCTCCACCTCCACCTCCGACTCCACCTCCACCTCCACCTCCTCCTCCTCCTCCTCCTCCTCCCCTCCTCCTCCTCCTCCTCCTCCTCCTAGTCTTCCTCCCCCTCCTCCTCCTCCTCTTCCTCCTCCTCCTCCTCCTCCTCCTCCTCCTCCTCCTCCTCCTAGTCTTCTCCTCCTCCTCCTCCTCCTCCTCCTCCTCCTCCTCCTCCTCCTCCTCCTCCTCCTCCTCCTCCTCCTCCTGGGAAGAGGGACGGCCAGCATGGCCGACGGCCGCCACGCCACCAAGTGCTGGTAGCGCCAAATGGCGGGCACGCTGTGCACTCGGAGTGCGCGGGCACGCCTGGAGTGAGCTCCCTGGCAGCGGCGCTGGCGGCGCGGTGTGCATCGGCAGCGGGCGGGCACGCACGGGCCACAAGACTCACAGGTGAGGGGCAACGTTAAGGAAAGACCGGCTCAGGCAGGGAAACATCGAGCTGGAATCGGCGATGCATCGCCGAGAGGAAGGCGGTAGGCCCCCGATAGCGAAACCGCACGGTTCTGGGCGGGGTGGGCTGTCGGGCCCGCATCGGCGATCAATAGGCGATTGGGGTCGATGAATCCCCCACAGAGCCAACTACCCCCCCCCCCAAACGCTTCCCCTGAACTCGGGACACGAGACTCACGGGAACGCCACGGGAGGCGCCCCCTGGCCCAGAGCACCCGTGGGAGGTGTTGAAGCAGACTTCAAGGAGGCAAGCCTGGTTTGGGAAAAGGCACTCCAGATTGCTCAATCAGCACCCTTTCCATGCCATTCCGTCCGACGGCCCGTTCCAGGCCCCCCCTTGCGTGCTGAACCCCCCCCTCTCGCGATCCAACCCTCCCACACCCAGCGCCGGACAGGCCCAGTGTACCCCCCCACGCGATCCACCCCTCTACGATTATGGAGCAACTCGGGGTATCTGGGGTCTAGCGCGATGAAACCTGGAGATCTGGGGCCGCCGTTTCTGGCGTGATCCTCGCCCAGCGACCCATATGAAAGGCCCTCTGGACAGCGCTTCCCAGAACTTGTGCATATGCTGGAACTGAGCAGTGGTCCACAGAGAAAGAGAAAAGGAAGGAGGAGGGACTTGAACAAACAAAACCTGGGCGGCGCAGAAAAGCGGAGCAATAACGCCTGGCTTGGCTTCCTAACCACGCTGTGCCTGTCCATGTGTTCTGTGCCCCTTCCTCACCCCTGCCGCACGCAAGCCTCCGTGGGATTCCGCAGGATGCCCTGCTCCTTGAAGCTGCAAAGGTACCTTGGGATGTTGGTATCCCGCTGTCTCTGCTTGCGTATGTCGCGGCCACACTCTGCAAGGAGTACCCAAGCAGGCAGGTTGCCCAGCTTGAGACCACGCTGCACCACATTCATAGACCACTGGGTCCCCAACCAGAAAGGCAACCCCCTTTGGTGGACGTGTATGTTAAAGCCCTTCAGCATGAGCAACTGTTTTGCTCGCATGTTGGCCTCTATTGCGCGGGATCACCAGGATCATGGATCAGACAACGGACATTGGGAACGTCCACCAGGGGCCACCTGAACGACCGCCACTGCTGTCGTCCAGACGCCATGCACGCGGTACTTATTCGGATGCTGCACCAGAACTGTTACCAGCACCATTAAAATATCTCTCAAAATTCACACCAGGCGGGAAACTGTGATCCCACATTCTGCCCAAGATGTTTCGATTCCACGGGGCCCCAGCAGGAAACGCTGAACGGATGGGTCAACTCATTCAAAAATAATCACCGACAACGCAAGCCTCCCCGACGGCACACCTCTGGCGTTTTACCCGAATAGTGTTGTTGCGAACCATGGTACTTAGATATGGGCGTGCGAACCATATAAGCCGCAGCAAAAACAGGGCATTATGGGTTAGACTGTGTGGACAGGCACCGCTGCAGAACCTGTCAGCCGACGGCAGCTCTCTTGGTATCCTCCTCCTCATCCTCATCCACCTCATCTTGTCAAGCATCACGTTTCCAAAAAGCCAAGAGAAAACCCGCAAACTGCGCTCCGAGGGCTCAAGAATGGCACCGAATCGATGCAGCACTCTATCTCCCCTATTAAGCGTGAGGGGACAAACGTCGAAGGGGGTGTAACGCCGGCGAAATAATGATGCCAGGGCCTAGGCAGTATTTTAGGGTCGCCGATGATGGTGGTGACATGTGTGATACTGATGATGATGATGATGATGATGATGATGATGATGATGATGATGATGCTGGTGAACACAATGACGTTGTGTTAGTGACGGTGGCAGAATAAAAAGAGCTGTGCTGACCGCAAATGGTTGAGAATGATAATGATGCTGCTGATGATTATGATGGTGATGTTAATGATGATAACGATGGAGATGATGACGACGATGCTGATGATGATGATCATCATCATGAACACGAGGAGGGCGACGAAGATGGTGGTGACAAGATCACCCCAATCCCCAATGACGTATACTCTTCCCTATTACTATACATGGACGTGCTGGGCCCCAATGCGCCTGTGGCAGGATGTGAGGCGTACGAATGTACACAAATATGAGCGTATATTCCTGCATGCAAGTTGCATGTAAATGCACTCACACGTAGGACACGACCACAATAACTTTCAAGTCATGTTCGCAAGACGTGGCGCACGCATGCTGGTCAAAGCGTGTGATTGTTCCACACACGAGCGGATGCAAACAAGCGCGGGGCACGTACAATGCGCGAGTGCGCCTGCTGCAGAATGGACGAACACGTATATGATGCACATACCACCAATCACCATCAAACTTGAAAGCAATATGTATTAGTAGGCGCTGGCGAAAATGAAGCTGGCATGTCGCGAGGCAAGTATTCTCCTGAGCCCATCGCAGGCGCAAAGTATGTCGGGACCCACAAGGTGCGCTGTGAAAAAGGCACCACGCACCCAATTTTCGTGTACCAAGAAGCCCCCGGTGCAGCCGCAGAGCAACGCCAAGATGGCCCCACGTGGCTCCCAAAAGAACCAGTGACCTCTGCTCCCAGACGCCCTCGGTACCCCAAAGCGCCCCCGGGGTCACTCTGGCGCTCAAGTTGGGCGGCCAGGGCCACCTACGAGAGGCCACTGGTGGCGGAGACGTTGTCCAGCTGATCGGGACGGCCCGAGCGCTGCACCGGGCGAGGACGGCAACGAAAGCCAGGGGCGCGAATCGAAGGCCGACAGATGCAGCGACGCGCCCGCGCTGCTGACACTCCATGTGCTCGTGCCCTTCTTGCGGCTGGGCACTGCGGCGTGAGGACGAACCACCTGTTGCGCCACTCCTGCGAGGGTCAGTCACTCCATCGGCCCGCCCCCCTGACGTTGCACTGCTCTCCTCCTGCCTTGCCGCCAGATGCACTTGTCGTCAGGCGCACGCTGCAGTTCCCGCTCGCCCAGCCAGGAACCCTCGGCGACGAATCCATCACGCCGGGACGAGGGCAACGACTGCGATGACACAACTGCTCACGCAGTCAGGCCCCAGGCCTAAAAAAGGCACTGCAATAGCATGCCTGCGGAACAACAAGACTCGAATCCAACACCTGCAGACACGCCAAAAAGACCGAGCTCGCCAGCAGTAGTTGTACGAGGAGAGGTGGCAGCATCGTGTTTCTGAACCCTGGCGTGCTCGGTAGTTCTCTATTTATCCCCAACACTTCACATCTCGTTAACATCGCCAAGAGAATGCAAAATGCACGGTCCACCTAGGCCGTTTCACTGGTGGGAAGATGTGTCAAAACAGTCAACGCCCTTCTCCAAAAAAACAACTCACTAGTTTCCCTCGCCCGCACTGGCCCAGGCCTGACTCCCACTGCAAGGAAGATCCGCATGGGCAAAAAGCGCTGGAAGATTGTTACTGCAGGCGCGGGTGCGGTTGCCCCCGAGCCGTCCTGTATGCAAGCAGTCCAGAAGGAAGCAGGCACCATACGGGTGCGCCTTGCCACGCCAAGAAATATGCAGGACGAGCCTACGTCAGGGGCCAAAGCGGGCGGAAAGCTCGACCGTGCGAGAAGAATAAGGTCGCCGGCGGGGGGGGCTCCTTGAAGTGCTTCGACTGCTTGACGAGGTAGCCCTCCTTGATGATATCCTGGGGACACCACCGCGAGGACCGACGGCAGATCGCCCCAGGCAGACGCGAGACCCCGAGCAACAAGGAAAAAGGTGATGCGGACAGCTGGAAGCCTCGATCGTGCAGCAACAAGTATATCAAAAGACGCGACGGGTAGGTGATAAAACGGCAGAAATGCACTGGGCTGGGTTTGGAGAAGCTGGCACTCCATGAGACGACGAGGCAGAGAGAGAGAGAGAACAAAAAAAAGAGAGCGAACAGAGAAAGAGAGACAGAGAGAGAAAGAAGAGAGAGAGAGAGAGAGAGAGCGAGAACGCGAGAGATAAACAGAGATGGAGAGAGAGGGAGAAAGAGAGGCAGAAAGGGAGAAAGATATTGAACGAGAGGGAAGAAGGACGGGAAAAGAGAGAGAGGGAGAGAAACACAGGGAGAGAGAGAGAGCGAGAGAGATGGAGAAGCAGCGAGAGGGAGATAGAGACATAAAGATAATGAAAAAACATGTAAAAAGACAAAGAGGGGGAGAGGGAGAGAGAGAGAGAAGAAAAAAGAGAGCGAGGCAGAGAACCAAAACAAGAGAATGAGAGAGAGAGAGTGAGAAAACGAAAAAAAAGGAGGGGGAGAGAGAGAGAGAGATAGAGGGGGAGAAAGAGGGGGAGAGAGAGAGAGAGAGAGAGAGAGAAAAAAAAAAAAAAAGAGAGAGAGAGAGGGAAAGAAAGACAGAGGGATGGGGGGGAGGGGGGGAGGGAGGGAGGCAGCGATAGAAGATCTAGGTATGGACTGGGAGAGAGATGATGTGAGAGAGAAGGGGGGAGAGACGGAGAGAGGGAGCGAGGGAGGGAGGGAGGGAAGGAGAGAATGTCCAGGCGTACATGGAGAGAGAAAATGACAGAGAGAGGGGGGGAGAGATAGGGGGGGGAGAGAGAGAGAGAGAAACAGAGAGAGAGAGGGGGAAAAAAAAAGCAGAGGGGGAGAGAGAGAGAGAGAAACAAAAAAGAGGGCGGGGAGAGGGAAAGAGAGAGAGAGAGAGAAGAAGCGAAAGAGAGAGAGAGAGAGAGAAAGACACACACACACACACACACACACACACACACACACACACACACACACACACACACACGCCGCGAGAGGTGTGTGTGTGTATATATGCAGAGAGCGAAGGGGGGAGCGAGAGAAGATCCAGATATAGACTGGAAGAGAAAGACAGTGCGTGTGAGAGAGAGCGAGAGCGCGGGAGAGAGAGAGGGAAAGAGAGAGAGGGGTCATTAGATATGAAAATATGATGGTTCCACATGTGTATAGATATATAGAGAGAGGAAGGGAAATATGGCGATACGGGAAAGAAGGCAACAAGAGAAACACATGACGCCAAGCAGGCGCGCCACAATTGCACAGAGGGCCAAGATTCCACCAGAACGCTGCGTGCTTCCTACGAGCATTAAACTGCACACGCACGGATACAAAAGAATGGATGCATGCCACACACTTGCCCTCCTGCACGTGGACACTACCAGGTACCTGAAACATCTTGTGTACTGGTCTATTGACCGCAGTAGACATCAAATCGACCTCAAGGCGGCAGCTGGGCGAGAGGACATGCACATGTGTCGTTGCAGTCGGATCATCCGCCCGCCCTCGCGACTGCATTCTGCCAGCCCTCGCGACTGCATTGTGCCTGCTGTCTCTGAGAATGGCACAGTCAGCGCTGTCCTCGCGGTTGATGATGATTTCGGGCGTGGACATTGCTGCAAGAAGGGTCGGCCGCTGCGAAGCCAAAGAACCTGAGGCGAAAAGAGCTGCGTGCGCACATGCACCCATAGATGAGCGCATGTGCCGAACACCTCATACTACCTCCCCGAGAAAACTTGATTCAAGTAGGCATCGACCACTGCGGATCGATGGTCCAGGATCGACCCTTACGGACCGAGGGCCAAGGATCGAGCATCGCCGATGCATCAGCGAATCAGCGATCCGCGGACCCCGCCTGCCCTGACTCCGTCACGAGCGGCGAAGGAGTCCGCCTCCGCGCCCTCGCGGCCTGGATTCTGGGGCGCGCGTCCGCAGATACGCGGCCGCACGGATACGTTCCCGGCGGAGCATGCACGAACAAACGCCCCGTATCCGCGAGGGCGCGGCCTGGGGGCCCTGCCCGCGAGACGGCACATAGGGACATGCTTCCGCCCACGAAGGAGGGAGAAGTAGCGAAGCGGGAGGAACGAGGGAGGAGGAGTTTTGTGTTGAGACGGAGGCAAGAGGGGAAAGAAGAAGGAAGGGTAGAGGGAGAAGGAGGGAGGGTGGTGAAGAGGAGCGAAGATGGGGAAAGGAAGGGAGGGGGGAGATGCTCGAGGGGCCTGCCCCGCGAGGCCGCAAGTACGGATACGCCTTTCGCCCACGACTCCCTGCTCTCTGACGGTCCCCCCTGCCGACACCGCGCCGACCCGAGCTGCAGGGCCGCGGCCCCCTGCACGCTGGCGGGACCTCTGCGCGCGCCGCGCCGCGCCGTGCCCCCTCCGCGCGCACGCTGTGCGCCTTGGCGCGCCGCGCCGTGCCACGAACTCGTGGCAGCGGCCAGCGCAGGCTACGCCAGTGCGGCCAGTGCAGTGGGGCGCCAGCAGCCAGCGCCAGCGCGCATCGGAGCGCAGCCAGCGCAGCGGCCGTGCGCAGCGCGCCCTGCGCGCTCTGCGTGCCGCGCGCCCAGCGCTTCAGCGCTCAAACTGAGGCTCGCTCGAGCGTGGCTGGAAGTGGCCCCGTCTGGGCCTTCTGAGGGTTGCTCTCCTGGGCACTCCTCCTCCTCCTCCTCCTCCTCCTCCTCCTCCCTCCTCCTCCTCCTCCTCCTCCTCCTCCTCCTCCTCCTCCTCCCCTCCTCCTCCTCCTCCTCCTCGTCCCCCTCTTCCTTCCTCTCTCCTCCTCCTCCTCCCCTCCTCCTCCTCCTCCTCCTCTCTCCTCCCCCTCCTCCTCCCTCCTCCTCCTCCTTCTCCTCCTCGCGGCTGGATTCGTACGTGGAGCATCCTGGAAGAGGCCATCGGCGCCTCCCTGGGGAAGCTGGGGCCACCTTGGGCCAGGGCCGCTGCTGGCGACACCTCACACAAAGGGGGGGGGGGGGGGGCACCAGCGGCAGGGGCCGCCACAGACAGCGAGGCCGAACATTCTGACACCATCGCGGAGCCGCGAAGGGGCAAAGGCCAAGCGAGTCCAATCCTGAGATCACGTTGGGGGGCCGCAGAGGGCCGCGGGGCAGGAGCGCGCGAGCCCCGATCTGAGCGGGGAGGGCACAGACGGGTCTGGGAGGCCACGAGGCTCTAGAAGGGCCCCTTTCTGCAGCCCTCACGGACCCCCCCGTTCATCGCTCCCCCCATTACGCGTCCTCCGACCTGTTGCTGGCCCCAGGAGGCCGCTAAGAGCCCCCAGGGGCCGAACATAGAAGAAACCTCCCGTCGTGTTTTCCCCGACGCGAGGGGGTCTGGGAACGGGCTCCCAGGTGCCAAAGGAAGAAAAAACATTGTAGGCCTCTGGAGGTCACCGGCCGCCTGGTTTAAGGCCTCTGGAGGTCCCCGGCCGCCCCCGCACGTCAGTGGAGGCCTCCGAAGGCCTCTGAAAGCCCGAAGGAAAAGCCCAAGAGCACTTGCATAAAACATTTAAGCAAGTAAAAAGACAGCAATAACGAAAACCCACAAACCTTGACGAGAGGGGCGCCCCCGAGATCTGCGCCGCAGCATGTCGAGGCTCGAGGGGCTCGTGGCCCCCACCGCGCCCCACGGCCCGCTGCAGCGCCATACCGTGGCGTCCGAGGGCAGCCCCTTGCTGCAGAGCGAGCCGAAGGCACACCAAGACATCGCCGCGCCCTGACCCCGAGCGGCTGGGGATCAAAGGGCGACGCATCTCGCCCAAATGCGTCTAGAGACGTAACGATACCCAACATGTCTGTAGACGTGTGCCACCCAACTGTGCCAAAGGCGTAACGGCACCCGATGTGTCTACAGGCGCCTGCGGCCAGAAAGTGAGAACGGCATTTCACGTAGGCCCCAGATGCGGGTCTTCTAGAAGCAGGTAAACTTTGCCCTCCAGCCCGAGCAGCACCTCCCAGGAGAGGGGGAACGCCCGAGGCCTGGGCCAAGAATGCATGGCAACGTTAGGGGGGGACCAGCTCAGAGGACATGTCGAGCCGGGATCGGCAACACATCGGCGACAAGCCCCCAGTGGCCAAGCCGCACGCTCCGAGGTGGGCTGGGCTACAGGGCCACCGTCGGCGGGGAAAGAGCGAGTGGGGATCGATGCACCCCCCCCCCCCGGAGCACATCCCCCCCAGCTCTGCCCCTGGCGCTCGGGCCACGAGGCGACTCTCCACCCCTGCGAGGCGCAGCCGCTGGAAGGCATCCCGAGGCTGGAAGACCGCCGAGGACCGAGAGGAGGAGGAGGAGGAGGAGGAGGAGGAGGAGGAGGAGGAGGAGGAGGAGGAGGAGGAGGAGGACAAACCTCCGGCCTCGCTCCGCCGAGCCCTACGGTCGGGAACGCCGGCTCGGCGCGTCGCGGCGGCAGCCCTGGCGACACGCTGTGCCGCGTGAGCGGACAGCGTGTCGCTCCGCTGCACGGGGCGGGAGGCTCGGAGAGGCTCGGGACGCTCGACTGCACTGGCCCTGCAGACGCGCTGCAGCGGATTTCCGCGCGGATCTCTCTCCATGCAAGACCCCGACACGGCGAGTGAAAAACGAAGTGAATTTCGCATGGATGTTTTGTCGTCTTGATTCCTGGCCACAATAACCGCGCGAAATAAAACTTCGAAATCCGGAGCGAAATTATCCAGGACAATCCGGGCCCATCCCTTTCGTTTCCGAACGAAATCCGCTCTGCGATGTTGGCGCCATGAGATGTTGACGCTTGGGAAATGGTACGTGGATAGCGTGTCGCGCCGAAGCGTGGTGGGCAAGAACCAGCGGAGCGACACGCTGAGCCAAAGCTCCTGACCGCAGGCTGGACTGGGCGGGAGTGAGCCGTTTTGAACGGGATTCTGCTGGAGTGGGCCAGTTTCCGTCCACGGATAGGCGTGAGCGTCGCTGAACCGATCCCTGTCCCCCATGGCATGGCCTTGGCCGACTTACCACCCTGTCAGGGGATATATGATGTGCCCCTTGGATCTCGCAGGACATAGCCCCCACCCAGGCGGGTGACCTGGTGTGGCTGATGTCCCATGGCGCAGTAGGGACGGTAATCGGTGAGACCACCATGAATGCCAGCCCCGACGCCGAAGTTGATCCCCCTAATGTTTAGGCGACACGCACGAGTGACCCTGGGCAAGAGTGACCTTTGGGCGCGCGGCTGTACCAGGGGCAGCAGGGGAGGCCGAACCAGAGCGCGCAAGAAGCGGCTGTCGCACCGCGTTCGGCGATCGGGAGACCCCGGCGGGCCCGCATCGATGGTCACTCCCGCGAAGGGTCACTCTCACGTGTACTCGAACGTCGCCCCCGACGAGAAGACCCTCCGACGCGCCCCAGAGAGCGCCACGCCGCTCTCCGGCGGGGCGCGGCGGACGAGGGCCCGCAGCGGGCGGGCCCGCGCACCGAGGCCGCGGCGGCGGTGGCGACGGCGGCGGCGGCGGCGACGGCGGCCCGACGACGGCGGCGGCGACGACGACGACGGCGGCGGCGGCAGCGGCGAGGGCGGCTACGGCGGCCAGGGACCGACGTCTGGGCCTCTGGCCAGAAGCCTGGGGCGAGCCTGGCCGTGAGTGGCGAGGGGCGCCCCTGGGGGCCCCCGCGACGGCGGCCGTGACCGCGAGGGTGGCAATAGACGACCTCCTCTGGATGGGACGCACAGGGACATTCTAGTAGGATGTTTGGGTGGTGCCGACTGGAGGCCGCCCGACGACTCTGAAGCGTCCTGGGCGGCTTCAAAACGCCCGAAGACCTTGACCATCGAGGCCCCCTTTCGATGGCAACTCATGGGAGCCTCCGATGTCGTCTTGCTGGCTCTTGCGAATTGACGCTAATCGACGCTAAGTCGACGCTGACCGACGCCTATCGACCCGACCTGACTCTAAATCGATGCTAACCGACTCGATTACCAGACGCTAAAGAACGTCAATTCCGCAAACACTGCTTGCATTTAGCGGTGTCTTACTTCTACTGTAAGGAACTGGGCCTGGCTGGCGACCTTGCGGCTAGTTGCCGCCGTCGCCGCCCCGTCGCCGCCTCGTCGCCGCCCGTCGTCTGGGCCTGGCTGGCGGCCTGGCGGCTATGTCACCGCCGTCGCCGTCCCGTCGCAGCCTTGACGCCGCATAGAGTGCACAACATAGTTTGCACAATATAGATTGCACCGCATGGATTTTCCTGTCTAAAAACAGAATAAACTCGACCCCCCCCGGACTTATCGGTTCCCCTTTCGGGTGTGTAAATCATGTATGATTCTGACCACTCGTCCATCCTAACGATGAAATCATACCATCCAAGCCAGGCCAGGTTCCCCCCCTGAGATTCCCTTGTAAAAACACTGTGCGGTGACATTTGTTGTTCTAACATAACACATTTTCACAAATCCCTCTCAAAAAATGGAACGAAGTGCACACGCGCGCGTCGTCGCGCGCGCATGCCGAAATCCTTCAAAAACATTCGCTGCGGGAAGGAATTCGCAATCGAGTTTCCAAAAAACATACAAAAACACAGGGTTTCGCAACACAAAGTTGCTAAAAAAGCTTCCGCGAAAGCTCTTGCGAAATCTTAAGAAAACCATAGGTTTTTTCAAGATTTTCACAAAATGCTACCAAACGGGCTTCGCGCGCGCTCATGTCGAAATCTGTCGAACGCCCTTGCGCGTGTGTCGTCGCGAGAACCCCCTGC